GGGCCTCTCACTGTTGTGGTCTCTCCCGTTGCGGAGCACAGGCTCCGGACGTGCAGGCTCAGCGGCCACAGCTCACGGGCCCAGCCGCTCCGGGGCACGCGGGATCCTTCCAGACCGGGGCACGAACCTGTGTCCCCTGCATCGGCAGGCGGACCCCCAACCACTGCACCACCAGGGAAGCCCTTCAGCTATTATTTTTACACTAATTTCCCCTCAGCCTTGCGTGTTGTGCAGTATTTTCTGACACCACTTCTCTGATTTCCAACACCAACTGAGTGTCCAACAATTCAATTCAGTTCTGACACTAACTACCTGGAATTAGCATCTGATGCCAAAAGTTAAAGGGCTCACTCCCACAAGACTGTCCCACTTCAGATCCAGCTGCAAATGGGGTGCCCAGACTACTCACACTTCTGCCTGGCCAACTACAAGTTAAGTGGTTTCTACAAAACCCTCTCAGTTTCAATAATTTGCTAGAAGTACTCACAGAACTCAAGAAAACACTTTACTTACATGTACTGATTTATTATAAAGGACACAACTCAGGAACAGCCAAATAAAAGAGATGAATAGGGCAAGGAACGGGGGGAAGAGGGTGCAGTGTTCCCAAGCCCTCTGGGGCCATGCCACCCTCCCAGCACCTTGATGTGTGCGCCAACCCAGCAGCTCTCCCGATCTCTGAATCAAGAGTTTTTGCAGTGCTCAATGTCCAGCCTCCCCTCCCTTCCCAGGAGGTCAGTGGTGGGGCTCAAAGTTCTCGCGCTCTAATCACTTGGTCTTTCCGGTGACCTGTGCCATCCAGGGGTCCCACCTTAACTCACTTCATTAGCATAAACTCTGGTGGGATCAAAAGGAAATCATTATGAACAACAAAAGACACTCCTATCACTCAGAAAATTCTAAGGGTTTCAGGGGAAGTGGGGACAAAACCCAAATATTTATTTCACCACACATACCCTTCCTTCAGTTTTCCATTTATCAAAATTCTCTTTACATTCAAAAAACTACGAAACTGCCACTGAAAACAAATTGTTCCTTCAATGCAGTTCTCTGGTGAGTTCCCAGAGGCAGGGCGGTGTCCTGGCCAGCCCTGTGTCCTCCACAAGTCAAATCAAAGGACAGCATGGGCAGCTGGCCTATGGTGGTGGGACATGGTCGGGGAGCCGAGTGATGCCTGCTCAGCCTTCAGCCCCCTTACGTCTCCCCTCTGGGCCAAGGAACAGTGAACCCAGGCAATGTGGGTTCTTGCCTCGGGAAAAACAGAAACAGGACTGCGGGTACTGTCCAAGCTCTCCGGGCAAGTCAAGGCCAACCAGGAGTCCACAGATATAGCACATCTCCAGGTCAGGGGTGGAAGGGAGGGAGCATCAAGGCCAGATGTCTAAAGCTAAAGCCACTCCAACAAGGAAAGAATGACAGAAGCGATTAGTAGCCACATATGGCTGTTTATTTCATACAGGGCTCTGTACAAAATATTTACATATATTCCTTATAGAATAGTAAACCACTTGAAGGTAAAAAGATAATGCTTTCTTCTCATTGGCAGGGGATAATCCTGATGTCAGAAAAGCTATAAAACAAATGAACTTTCTCCTTCCTAGACCACAACAAAAGTCAATGCCACCTGCTTCCTGGGATCCAAAAAGCCATGGCCTTGGGACCCTGATCACATGCACCTCCCTTCCTCTTCCCCATCAATTCCTTCAGTATTTACAGACATGCCCAAGGGCCTGTGGCAGGAGGGGCCGATGCTGCCCACTTGGAAAGATGACAAGAGGACAAACTTGTTGCGGGAGAAGACTGGGAACTTCTGTCACATCATCTGGATCCTGGAAGAATTTCCTTTGTCTTGATAAATCTACCACTTTCTAGACTAATCCATCCACATCATGCTAACCCC